GAGAGAGAGAGAGAGAGAGAGAGAGGGGGATGCGATTTAACAGAGAGAGAAAAAGAAACGAGAAAGAAACGGCCTAAGCGCGACAACAGTGGTCAGATTGGACAGACCTATAGCGATAAGGAGAACTAGAAATAGGGGGAGGGGAGGGCAATCGAAGCGAAACCCTTCCGAAGGAAAATCTTTTTTAAAAATCCGTCATTTATATTTTAGAATCGACAAAGATTTTTAGACAATACCCTCGGGTCGTTACACTTTACTTTCTTCTTGAACTTTCATTTTTTTTTCTCATCTAAGAAGAACTGCTACTACGTGAAACACGATGGGTGGAAAAAAATTACACGTATATAAATCGATGTGTGACAACTCTTCTCTCGATGTGTAAGAAGAGAGAAGAAAAGGGAAAAGAAAAAGAAAAAATAGAAAAAGAAAAAAATTTTCTTTCCTTTCGGAGTCGTCAAGTATATTTGCTCGAGAAGAAACGAGAAAAAGAAAAAGAAGAAGAAGAAGAAGAAGAAGAAGAAGAAGAAGAAAGGAGGAAAGTTCGCTCGTTGAATCTTTCTCCACTGTTCGCGTACTTCCAATTGATATATCGACGACGATAAAAACTTCGCACACGTACATACGCATAATGGACGAATTATGGAAGAGGGGAAAAGCGGAAGCGAGGTACGCACACGCGCAAACGAACACACGCAAACACATGCACACACGCGCAAACGTTTGCCGCGTCTGACGAGACGGAGATATTGTAAAGTAGCAATAAAGGAGGATCTCTTGTAAATATATATAAAGGAGAGGGGAGGAGAAAGGAATGAAAAGAGCGAAATGGAGACACGGGGATTAATATATCGTCCACGGTGGGGAGGAAAGTTCGGCGACCCGGCCGAAATGCGTGTATAGTCGTGTAAGAGGAATTATAACACTGTAGATATCTTAGCACCTTAGATGTGAGACTTCGAAGAGGGAACATTCGTTGTAAACTTTCAAAAAAGTATAAACTTCTTCAGATTAGGGATACGCCGGGGAGGGGAGGGAAATGGAATCACGCGACTGTAAAAAATAAAAATAAACGGCTTCTTCTTAGCCGATGTGAATCGGTCCTCGTCTCGATCATCTTCTCCTCTCCCCCTCCTCATTTTCCTTGGGTTTGTTGCAAAAGATTTTCGTTACTTGGTTATTTTATTTTTTATGAAACGGTGCAGCACTCGTGATTTTTATTTTTTTCTTTTTATGTTTACTTCGACTTGTGTTCGAAGTTCAGTTCGATGAAAGTTAGATTCAAGTTCGATTTTGATTGGTAGGTTACGGTGCAATGGTAGATTGAAATGCTTCGACATTTCAATTGGAAATAGAACAATTTTACGAGTTTATTTCGCCAACCAATTGTCGAGTGGTAAGTGAAATACGATCTGTACGAATTTCAGACTCGAGTAGATTGATGGATCTCTTTGGAAGGGTCACAATCATCTTGAAAATCGATTGGATGTAAGGGATGGAAAATGGTAAATTATCGAAAAAAATCTTTATTCGGAATATTAGTTTGAACAAATTCGAGAGTTTTTTTTTTTTTGTACAGTATGAAGCGATTGATCGAATAATCGATCGATTTCTTTCCAAAAAGAAATTACTCTTCTTAAAATAAAGAAAAGAAAAGAAACGACTACAGCGATACTACATCGATATTACATCGTTTACATTCTACAGCAACCATTCTCTCAAAAGTATATTCTTTTTTTTCTTTTTATTCAAAACCCATTTCTTCTACTTCTTTGAGTGAAAAAATATCTCCTCTAAAGATTCGGCCAGATTAATCGAATAATTATCTCGAAATACTTTTTATTTAATTTTTATCCAAGGTAAAAAAAACTCTTTCTTCTTCTTCCTTCTCCCTATTTCATGTATATATATATATAGATATACACTTTTAACTTGTCTTCAATGTCCTCTTTAAGTGTCGATATTATCATAAAAATTTGCTTGATATACAACGCAACGAATCAAAGAATCGTGCTCCTTCGTTCATACTTGTGTATATATATATATATACATTTCACGATTATCTCGTGTAAAGCGTCGACGGTAAGGTTTGCAAAGAAATTTCATTTCCGTATTACAACACAAAACAAATACCAAAAATATATATAGAAACTTTCCAAGCATGATTTAATAAATGAAAACTCTTTGAGCAACGAGAACGTGGTAACGAATGGGTTCTAACGTTCGATCGATGTAAAATACACGGGAAAAATAATTACGATTCGACAAACGTTTCCATGGTAACGTTATCACGTTTTCACGTTCGCGCGCGCAGCTTCAACTACCGAGACCATCGACGTTCGCCACGTCTATTTATCACGTCGAGGACGCGAAGGAATTCGGTCTCGATTATAAATATAATAATTACAATAATTATAAATATATATATATATATTATATCCGATCGTTTAAATATCGTCGGAGCGATTGTCGTGTCGGGATAGAAACATGTAAAAGCACTTGAAGAGTCGTCGCATTTTCCTGCCCGATTAAAAAACGTCCATGTGTTTTTCTCTCGTACGGGGCGGAAGATTTTAATCGATTAAAGGAATTATCATATCGGTTGATGTTGAAGGGGGAGGAGAAAGGGGAGGATCGTTCATCCGTGAACAGAGGAATATTGTTATATAAAATCGATGCTTGTATTGTAATTGGAATTAGCTATCCTACGATCTCTCTACGATTTAAATTAAACGAAAAATTCCTTTCTCAGATAAGCGAATAAATGTATATTTAATCGAGCATTTAACAACTGAAATGTTACGTTCGCCGTATTA